AACTCTGATCACCTGGCTGAGGAAATGTTTGTCAGATTTCCCCACTGTAAAGTTTCTCTATTTTCCTTTCCTTCCTATGCTGTCCTCTTTGGAAGGAAGTTACAATGTGCAGACCATACTTAAGGAGGTGAAGCATAACTCCTTGAAAGAAGAGTGTTTACATACGTTATTTTGAATTATTCTGCATGGGGGATTTGTCTATTCTCTCCATTCATTCATTCATTCAACATTTATATCAGTATAGACTTATAGATATTTATAGTTTGGGTTACAATCCAATACCACTTTATTTATTTCATTGCTCAAATTTTCCCAGCTTTGGCCACTGGGAGCCTTTCAGTTGACCCCTGTGTCCTACTGACATACTTTCATCATTGTGATTTCTAGCACTGTAAGATGCTCCAGACTCATCTTTATTTCCTACCTGAGTCCTAGATTCAGCTATTTTCCCAAGGAACTCTGGTTCCTCTGAAGAATATTAGAAACCAAAATCTGGGTGCTAGGTGTGCTTATTGCTACTGGGGAGGTGTTTCTAGGCCCTCTGGGAAAGGAAATATTTATGTTTATGCTAACCTGTTATATATATACCTATATATATTTCTATGTGTAACTATCTGCATCTGTAATAAGCTAAACATGAGTTCATACTGATGTGTCCAACTTTATTACCACATGGATCATTCTACCCTTTCCCCCTTGCTCTTCTGTAACCTCCACTCCAACAATGAGAAACCTGATTATCACCATTTACTTAATTGTTCATTTCCACTATACATGTATAGCAATATGAAAATTATTGACCTATACCTCCATAGGACACAGCTTAATCAACTGGAGTATAATGCTCATGTGCAGTTTCTGTTGCCTTTCGTCTTTCTTCACTCATTTCCAAAGTTACCTAAGGTGAGCTCCTTTTTCCTCCATTCCCTTCAGTGAATTTATTTTATGCATTTGTAAAAGAGTTAGATTGTTTTGTTAAATTCTGCATTCCATCTGGGATTCTGTGATATCCTGAATAATCTTTTGAAAATTTATATACATTAAGGTTCACTCTTTGTCCTATGAAGTTAGTGGTTTTCAAAAATACATAGCATTATGTAACCACCATTGTGGTATCATACAGAATAGCTTTACCACCCTAAAAGATCCTCCGTGTGAATTCCCATTCAACCCTCCTTTCTTCCCACAAACCCCTAGCCATGACTGATCTTTTTACTGTCTCCAATTTTCTCTTTTCCAAATGTTATATAATTGGAATCGTACAGTATGTAGCCTTTTAAGATTGGGTTCTTTCACTAGTAAGATTCATCCATGTCTTTTTGTGGCTCGATGGCTAATTTCTTTTTGTTGCTGAATAACATTTCATTCTATGGATATACCATTGGCTATGCCTTGGTTTGTTTATCACTTCGCCTATTGAAAGGTATCTTGATTGCTTCTAGCTTTTGGTGATTATGAATAAAGCTGCTTTAAACATTTGTGTACAGATTCTTGTGTAGACGTAAATTTTTATTCGTTTAGGTAATTATTTAGGAGCAGAATTGCTGGATCATATGTTAAGATTAACTTTGTAAGAAACTGCCTGTCTTCTAAATTAGCTGTTCCATTTTGCATTTCTACCAGCAAAAAATGAGAATTACTGTTGCTCTTTATCATTGCCAACAATTGGTAATGTCAGTTTTTTTGATTTTAGCCATTTTAATAGGTATATATTGGTGTCTTATTGTTTAAATTTGTATTTGCATTTCCCTGGTGACAAACAATTTTGATGCTTTTCAGATGCTTATTTGCCATCTGTGAGTTGTCTGTTTAGTGAGTTGTCTGTTTAGATCATGTGCCTGTTTTAAAAACCGGATTGCTTTTTTTTCTTACTGTTGAGTTTTAAGAATTCTTTGTATATTTTGGATGCAAATGTTTTATCAGATATGTATTTTGCAGATATTTTCTCCCAGCCTGTGGCTTGTTTTCATTTTCTTAATAGTGTCTTTTGTAGAGCAATTAAAAGTTTTTAATCTTAATAAAGTTTAACTTATCAATTTTTAATTTCATGGATTATGCTTTTAGTATTGACTATAAAAAGTCATCACCACACCCAAGGTCACATAAACTTTCCCCCTATGTTTTCTTTTAGAAGTTTTATAGCTTTTGCATTTTACATTTAAGTTTAATCCAGTTTGAGTTAATTTTTGTGAAAAATGTAAGGTCTATGTCTAGATTCTTATTTTTGTTGCATATGAACATCCAGTTGTTACAGCACCATTTGTTGAAGAGGTTTCCTCTCTCCATTGAATTGCCTTTGCTCTGTTAAAGATCAGTTGACCATATTTTTGTGGGTCAATTTCTAAATCCTCTGTTATATTTCATTGGCCTATGTGTCTGTTCTTTCATCAATACCATGTTATCTTGGTTATAATTTATATTTTCTCTTTTTAACATTGTACTTGCAGATTTTTCTTTTTATTCCTTCAAGAAGCAGTTTTGAAAATTTTTTTTTGCTAATTCTAGTTCTTTATTATTTCTTTTCTTGAACTTGTTTTGTTATTGTTTTCTCTAGCTTCTTCAGTTAAGTTAATCAAGCTCATTTCATTTGCTCTTAAAATCTTAGTCTGGTAGGGCTGCCATATAAAAATACCATAGGCTGGATGGCTTAACAGTAGACATTTATTTTCTTGTAATTCTGGAGGCTAGAAGTTCAAGATTAAGGTGTTGGACTTTTTTTTATTTTGGTGAGGTTTCTCTTCCTTGCAGTTGGCCACTTTCTCACTGTATCTTTGTAGGAACTTTTCCTTGTGCACAAGGGGAAATGAGGGGGATGGACACACACACACATATCAGGAAATTAACATTAATACAATATTTTTATCCAGTCTACAGGTTTTATTTATTCTTTGTCAGTTGTCCCACTAATATCTTTCATAGCAAAAGGAGATCTCAGATCACGTATTGCATTTAGTTGTTATAGCTCTTTAGTTATTCTTTGTTTTTTTTTTTTTTTTTTTTTTTTTTACATTGGCATTTTGAAGACTACAGATGTGTAATTTTGTGGACCACTTCTAGTTTGGGTTTGTTTTTGTTTCCACACTATTTGGTGCAGGTTATGCATTTAAAATTTAGAAAAATTTTTCAATTACAGATGACCTTAAATATTATATTAGTTTCAGGTATATCAGGTTATGTGTTTTTGGTAAGAATCTTACAGAAGTGATAACTGTGTCCTTCTCAATGGATCCTATCATAAAGCACATGATGTTGATGGTCCCATTACTGGCGATGTTAACTTCGATCACTTGGTTATGTTTCTGTTAGCCTTCTCCACTGTTAAAGATACTATTTTTTCTTATGTGCTGATTAAGTTATCTTGTGAGGAGATACTCTGAGGCTATTATCGTGTTATTCTTCGAACTTTCAACCACTAGTTTTATCACCCATTGATGATTCTTACCTGAATCAGTTATTATATCAATTATTTTCTAATTCCATTATTTCTTCTACATTAGTGTTTTTTTTCCTCAAGGAGTTAAACTCCTGCAATTGAATGCCTGACTTTCAAAACTGTTATCTTTTAAATCCAAAGCTGAGCTATGAGGCCTTTGTTCTAGGCTGTACCCACCTTCCATCTGAGGCAACAAATACCACCAATATTACCAAGACTGGGTGATGAATGACAAGGTCACAAGAATAATTTCAGCCTAGGAGAAGCCCCTAGGTTTAAAATCCTCAAATATCATCTTACTGTAATAGTTTTTAGTATTACAACTATTTATGTTTTTGTGTTTTTATAGGGGCTTTACTGTATAATTGAGTGAAACTGCTATTTAAAAGGAATTATGGGATCAAAAATAAATATATTATCACTCTAAGTATATAAAGTAACTTAAACCTATAATAAAATATAGCCTAATTGCTGACTTGCTGAGCCTGCTTTAATGAATATTTAAGACCCTTAATAATAGTGGTTGCAAAAAAATTAAAGTTTGAAAAGAACTTTAAACCTTCTCATCTTTTGAATAACTTATTCCTTTCCCTCTAAGGCCTATATCACTAATTTGCTAGATTAACTCATCAAAGATTGTACAAAGATTAAAATTGCAATGCAATCCCACTGATGCTGCATTATTATTATGAATTCCAGTTTAGGGAACTGGAATTTGCCTTTATTGTGTGAAGTTGTGTATTTTGAATTTAGTGATGTTTGTGTGTTGTAGTGAAAATATCTTTTGCCTGCTTCTTTTGTCTGTATCAACTCAGAGGGGTGCTTGAATCAGGTTTGTTTCAGAGATAGGTTGTGGATCCTGTAATTTCTTCAAGACTTGTCATGTTTTATGAAGCAAAAACATTTCTGTGCCACAACCTGGCAGATTCTCTCATGTTAAGGCATAGAGACAGACTTAAAATAGAGGCTACTTATTTATGTTATCAGATTCTTGCAAATATATATTGTCTAAATTAACTAATAGAAGAACATACAATAATTTACATTAAAACAAAGAATTGAAAAACAGAACTTCTAATTTCTTTATGGGATTAGCCTAAGAGAATAAATCACAAAACAAGAGAGCTAACTGCTAAGAATCTCCTGGGTTTTCTCTTTCAAACGTTCTTTTATCTTAATGACTGACCATAGATTTAAAATCTTCACCTTGGGGATCTAAAAGAAAAAAGAAAAACACAAAGTTACTCAGTATGCATAATCTCTGTATTATGAGTGTTGGAATTTAGATACATTGGCACACCCTTGTACATCCTCTATGCATAGAAGTTCTAGAGAAATGTTATTTGACTGTCTTGATTTCTGCTGTTTGTTTCAGTGGCTCATGTACACAAAGATGATTATAATTTTTATCTGGAATTGATATTGTCTTAAGAAATGTGTGTGGAGGGGATTGAAGAAAACTGCAGAGAATATTATTTCTTATCTTTTATTTTAAACAACTGTTCATGTAGGCATTTTCTTATTTATTTTATATGTATTAAACAAATGATTTTTTAAAAATCAATAGATCCTTCTCACTGTGAGCATGAAGATACCTTTTTCTCCGTGTTTCACACTCAAGTACCACCAGAAGAATATGAAAACCGTATACAGAATGTCAGTCAAGGTAAGTTTTAATTTGTGTAATTTTCTATATTGTCACAAGAAAATGCTAGCTGTATACAGAAATAGTCATAGATGAAATGATTTGATGTGATTTAATCCGGAGGTAGATAGAAGTTGGTGAGGTTCTAGACAAAACAAGATTGGTGATGAGTTAGTCATTGTTGAAGTTAGTTGTTGAGTGTTTATTATACCATTTTTCTACTTTGGGATGTTTGAAATTTTTTTTACCTAATAAAGAGTTAAAGAAAAGATGGCTGCAAGTAATGAAAATCTAGCTTAAGGAAAAGAGAAAATTTATGGAAAGAATTCTGGTGGTAGACAGCTTTTTTGATTCCCAAAAGCATATTCTGTAGGTAATCATTGAGAAGGAGACTATTTCAAAGTCTTAGAGAAGAGACCAACTGATCTGATTTGGGTTGGGTTAGGGGCCTACCACTGGCCTAACCAACTTGTCCAACCTAGCAATGGTTGGGGTCACTAAAGGAGCATGGCACTTTCTGCCATGGATCATCAGCAGGATGGAGAGAAGACGAGGACATTTCTAGTAAGAAAATTCTGACCAGACATTCCAATGTTTTCTCTTATAATTTATTAAAAGTGTATTTTAAAGAAACTCTTATAAATGTAGATGTGGATGCATTTAATTTGAATTATTTTAATGTTGTGTTATTTAAGAGTATATGAATCTTCAACTGAAAGAATAAACCTCATATTTCAACTTAAAAGGCTAATACAACTTGAATTATGGGAAAAAGTTATATATTTTATATCTAAGGAGGCCTGTCACCAAAAAAGTAACTCATACTCTAACTATTGGTAGTCCATTAAAAAATTATGTTACTGATTAGAAAATAAAACCCCAATCATAAAGCACAGATTTGTCTAGAAACCTGTAACTTAAATTTTAGTAAGACTTTTTTTACTCAGTTTTTATTTGAAAAGAATTTAAGTCCAAAGATCTTACTCTTTTCCTGGTTCTTTCCAGCTATTGTTGTGAAAATTTATTCTTTAATTATTAAATTTGTATTAAATCTTGGATAATTAGCTCTAAATACACAAATTGACTCTCCCTTAATCCTTTTCATTGAGGTAACCTCTCTTATAATACAAAGATCACTTTTAAGTAAACCTTGAGCTACTGGCTAGTGTTTTTCCCTTTTGGACTTTCATGTGGCAATATATCCTATCTTGTAGGGTGGACTCCATTTGTCATTTAAGAAGATTCTTCTTTATGCATATTTTTTGAGCTTTAATGAGGGATTCACATGATCTTGTTTTAAATACTTTAAACATGACTACAGTGAAAACAAGATATTTAATAAAGAGAGTAAGAGTCCAAAAGTATTTTTCTACCCTTGTTTTGAGCACTCAAAGGTTGAGTTAAACCTTCTTTGAAAGAAGGTTGACTTAGTCCATCAGTTTTCTCAACCTTTGAAATAGCTCAATACATTTATTTTGCTATCCAGAAATGAATCTGGTTTCTGCAACTTGAAAAACAAATAAAAAGAAGGTTTTTTTAAACCTCCTTTCAAAGGTTGAGAAAACTGATGGACTAGGATGGGCTCTAGGGATTTGTGTACATGGGATGTAGAACATCAAGGACGCTTATGCCCAGACCTCACTTAAAAGACAGGTTTGAACAAAAAGTTTATCGTTCAGAAAGGGTGATGGCAAATTAATAGAAGAGCAGGAAATGCCTCTAGTCTTTAGGGGAAGTTTTGTTTCATATGAAGACTAAAATAAAATATATTTTAAAATTCCCATAATATCAAAGGTTTCTCCTTCACATGTATCTCTTGAAGTTCTTTTTATATTTTCCATGATTACAAAGGAATCAACAGCAAAAAGTTTGATACATGTTAATGAATAATAAAAGTTTTATGTGAACTTCATTGCAAATTATGTAGCACGTTTATCTTTTTAATAAATCTATGTATTATTTGGTTTCTGGATCTGGAATTTAGAGGTTCTTCTATGTGTGTTTTATTTCTTATATATTTTAATATATGCTTAAGGTAAAATTTTAGCATAACGGACAATTGTAATTATGAAAAAATGTCAAACTTTTTTAATATCAGATTTTACCTATGATGTGGAAAGAAATGAGTCATTGATCAAAGCAGAAAAGAAACCTTTCTCAAATACAGAAAAGATTGAGCTCAGGGGTAAACACAGCCAGGATTTTATTAAGAGAAACATTGAGGTATGTACTTAGAAATTTAGAAGCCAGAATGTGGAACTAAATGAGTGGCAAAAATAGAAATAATTGTGTTCAATATATTTAAATAATTTTTCTTGACTGTGATACCTGTATATGTAATTTAAACAGCATGTATTACTGAGAGAAAAGTTTTTATGAACCAGTACTTAACTTTGCTTTTTGTATTCAATCCTATCCTATCCTGTCCTATTGTGTCCCTTTTAAAAATTCCAACAATAGCTCAATACATTTATTTTGCTATCCAGAAATGAATCTGGTTTCTGCAATTTGAAAAACATTTATTGAGATGAGAGCTTTAAAAGAAGTCTTCCAGATTTTAAATTACATATTAGTAAAATTGCTTTTTTAAAGTAAGGCAACTGATTTTATAGCTAGTGCTTTAGAAATTTGAATGGAAAATGCTCCTGGCAGAGCTGAAGAAGACTCTCTGACAGTACTCGAAATCTCATTTAGATGCTTGTAGGTAAGCATCGTCCACCAGCTGAGTCTCTTGGCAGCCCTTCACTTGTCACTTGCCTTGATTAGCTCCATGCTTCAAAGACTTGACCTTGGTCTTACAGGCCCTGCAGCCTGACTGTTCTCAAGGCAGACTCAGATTAACCAAGGGCACAGGGGCTCCTATATTAGACCAGGATGCTAATTAATTAATTTACAGCAAGAAATATAAGTACAGTGGACAGAAGTTTGGCTCATGGTAAACCACTGAGGTGGTAAAGTTATTAGAAAAGTATAAAGTATTAATAAGAAGAGAGAGTTAAGTGTAAAGTATTAATAAGAAGAGAGAGTTAAATAATTTTTTCATAGTTCAAGCCTGGCCCTTGTTCTACAATTGGCATGTCTTTTCCATATTGAATGGATTCATGGGTCAGCCTGCTACTGCCGAGACTAGACTTTGGGACTCTCAGTTTTTCTGTGCTCTTTGTTCCTGTGACCTGAAGGAAACCTTCTCCTACTTGATCTGTCTCTTCACGCTGGCCCATTATATGTTGATTTATTGTTTAATTTTCTAAAAGCAGTAGTATTTTTCCAGTATCCAAGTTTTTGCTGACACAGCAGCTCCACTATAAATTTCTCTTTTTCCTTTTTAACATTTAGTAACTGAATCTTTACTTAAACTCCTGATATGATATTCTTGAAATTTAAAAGCAATTTCATTTAGTAGATATATGCCACATAAGAAGTGGCAAGAAGATTCCTTTCAAATGCCCCAGCAAATATGTGTTTGCATTGATATAATATAAAGGGAGGTTTGCAAACTGTTTATTGTTTTATTTTATTTTTTTAAATAAAATGTTTGTTGGAATAGTTAACATGAGGGCCTGCTTATAGTGGGAAAATAACTTGCTTGGAGAATGGACCTATGCCAAAAATTTGACATAAAGTAAAATTACCTAGCAAATGAAAAATGCCTAATCTCTTAAATTTTTACCTTAGTGTATCTGTACTGTAGAAACTTCAGGCTTCATTTTAATTTTCCTGAACTATGAATTGCTTTGAGTATTTAATAATTTTCATTAATATATTCTGTAGTTGGCCAAGAATCAAGGAAAACCAGTGTTTATGATTGACAGAGAGAAGAAAAGGCTGGTTGAACTTTTGAAGGACTTAGATGATAAAGATTCGGGGCTGTCCAGTTCTGAGGTATGTAAACTCTGATATTCAATGACCTCTCTACTTCTTAATTTTTATTTTTTATTATGTTATTGATCCATTAGCATAAAATTACAATAATTTTTCAAATCATGAGACAATATTCTCTGACTTTAAAAAGTCCTGTTTCGCAAATTTATTTTTATTGAAATTTTCAAATTTATTCTTGGTCATTTCATTATTGACTCTCAAAGGATTATTTTATGTCATTGTAAGAGTGACTACACATTGGTTATCACAATAATAACCTCTGCTTGTGATGTTATGGGCTTAGTCATTGATGACATATAATGTGTTTCTCTGTATCCTTTTATTTTGGACATATCTTATTATCTCTAACTGGCTCTGTGATATTTCAGTTTAGTCTTCAGTAATCCTTAAGAACACTGTCCTGCTCCTGCCCAGTTAACATTGAGCATTCAGTTCCCCGAGGAGTCTGCAGAGCACAGACTGAGTCTGAGCAGATGGAACAACATGTAAAACAGGGTGCAAGTGTGGGTATTTATAGGACTGGTCACATAAAGAGTGCAGTGGCTCTGGATTTGCACTTGTTTGCACACTAAACGCATAGCAGTATTTTTTACTTCCACAAAGAAATACAGTCTCCTGTGTTTCTAAAAGCCCTTAGACCTGTCATCTAGTTTTTATTCCCCTGTTTAGTAGAGACATGATGTAGTGAATGCTGCTGACACCCTGTCCAGATCTCTTTTACCTGGCATGGCTCTGCGCATCCATCCCCCTGCCTGTGCCAAGGGTGCACAGCTATCTCCTTTCCTGGAGAGTCACCCTGGGCTAAATGGGAGCTGAGCAGCCCAGGACAGCATACCCTCCCCTACCCCGCCCTCTGACTCAAAATGAGATTAATTCTGTGGTGCAGTTTGTCTTTTAGAGCTTTCCAAGAGTCAGGTAGCTGATCTTCAACTGAGACCATATCCTTGCCTGGCTTCGTTCCCATGGCCTAGCCTGCTTCTCAGATCCCTTCTCCTGAAAGCACCCCTCCCCCCAATAAGTCACTTGAACAAGAATCCCTATCTCAGCTCTGCATCTAGGCAACCCAGCTGAAGACATGTAGGTTCAGGGAGTAGTTTTTGCTCTTGGTTCAAAAGCAGTGCATGGGCAGCAATACCTGTGGCCAGTGGGGAAGGGCCTGCCAGTCTCTGGGCGCCAGCACTGAGCATCAGCTAGCAGGAATCCTAGCCCAGCGCTGCCTGGGTCCTCCAATTTGTCAAGAGATGGTAGAAATGCAGATTTGTATGGGTAATTTTCCTCTTTTTAAATGTTGACCACTAATTCTATTAAAATTCTGTGTAGGCAAACAAAATCTCTATCCCCGTCCCTCTCCCTAAACCAAAGCAAATCTGCAGGGCATCACAGACTCCAACCTCTCTATAATTTCTGAAATGGTGAAGGCTTAATGGGGGCTGTGTCCATGAACAGACGAAGGTGTTGCTATGCCTGGGGCTGGTGAGATTGCCCAGGGAGGTCCCCTGCCAATCCAGAGGACAGCCATGCCTCTTAGCTTCAGTGTGTTTTGTGGAGCTGGGGCACGGAGTAGATAAGACGGACTGAGAAATGCCCACATAATTCTGAGATATTTTAGCTTTAGCATTCGTGGTAATTTGTTTATCTTATTAATAAAAGCTAAGGTAACAGTAAGAATGAAGGAACCTGAGTCTCACTCTTGGTTTTGTCATTAATTATGAAGTTGGGCCAGCTACTGCCCACTGATCCTCTGGGCACCAAACTATGGCATAATAGAGCTTCCTTATATATCCTAGGAATGCCCTAACAATGCATTTTTGTTATCAATACTGCCTTTCATATGTTAATTTTTTAAAAATACTTTTGTCTTCTCTCTTTATTTTAAACTCTTTTCTATCACTTAGTTTTAGGTAGATCTTTTACAGATACCATATACCTGGAGTTTTATTGCTGTTGTGTCTTTATCTTTGTTTCTTTATCTTTCATTATTATTTCCTTATTCTTTATCTTTTAATAAGGATATTTAATTTATGTATTTTTTTATGATCACTGACAATTTTTGGACCTTTTCCTGATATCCTATTTTATATTTCACTTATTATTATTTTTTGTTTTCTTAATTTTACTCCCTCTACCCCTGATCCTCTGAAAATTCAGCATCTTATTTCTGATCTGGTACTGTTAACCCTTAAGTTTTTAAAATACATTAAAACATATATTTTCTTTTCAACTTCAATAATTAGTCTCTAAAGTCTCATAGCTTAACAAAACAGGATCTTTGGTATGCTTTTTTCCCTTTCCTCCTATTTCCTCTCCTCCAGAATGTATTGAAATTACCTGGAATTTTAGTTCCAGAATATTATAAGTTTTTACCTTTAAAACCAGTATACTTATATTTTAGGAATATTTCTCAACGAATTTTTAGCTACATCATTAACTGTGTATTTAGGCTTAACTAATTGTTTATTTTTGAATTATTTTTCTGGAATTTTTTTGAAACTTCCCCTAAGAAATAATTTTTGAGTGTTTATATAGCCAAAAATTTATTTATTTTTCCCTCATTTGAATGACAGTTTCAAATGGTTTCTTCAAATGGTGGTAAGTAAATTCTAGATGCAAAATTCTTTTTTTCTGGGAGCACATAGGATTTTCTTTTTATTTTTGAGTTCACTAGTTTTATCAGAACATGCTTATATGTGTCTTTAAAAACATTTTTGTTCCGGCATGGTACTTTGTAGGCCCTTTTTGTCAGAAGATTCAAGTCTTTTTTCAGTTCAGAAAATTATCTTCAATTATTTCTTCCCTTTTATCATCTCTTTTCTCTCCTTTCAGGCTGTCTGTAAAATAGAATATCAGTTGGGAATGTGGTTGGCTGTGAGTAACAGAAAACTTTATCAAGTTTCTTAAGCAAGTAAGGAATTTATTTTTCTTCTGTAACTAGAAATCCAGGTATAAGCAGCTAGTTTCTTTCTATTTTCTGGCTCAACATTCTTAGTGTGGTTTTGTTTTTAGGTTTGCCAGATTGCTGGTATATCTATAGGTAAATGTGTCTATTTTCCAGGCAGAAAGAAAGAGGGGAAGGGTAAGAGACAGACACTCCTCTGAGGCGTTGCTTTTTCATTTGGGAAGGTATGGTGTCCCTAGGACTTCCATCTGCATGTCACTGGCCAAGCTGTGTCACATAGCCATTCTTCTTGTATGTTGCTTTAAGTGTTACTGGGGATTCAGGTATTTCACTTCTTCGTTTTTGTAGCAGAAGACGGCAAAGAAGAAGAAAATTAGAAATGAGGATTAGGTCAGTCAATGTACAAGTGTCTGCCATAGATGGGTATAGAAACTTCTGGATCTCCCCTCTAGATCTTATAACATTTTTCTCATAATCTTCATCGTTTTTGTCATTTTGCTTATATGATCTCATTTTACAGTTTTCAAGATCGGGTTTCAATCATGTCTATTCTGCTGTTTAGTTATTCAGCCTTCTTTAGAGATTGTTGTTGTTGTTTTATGGTTATTATTGTTTTTTAAACTAATATTTGCTGAGAGATTTTTCTGCAAGTTCTCTGAGGAAAAAGAGGGTCCTGTCTTATTATCCAGCATGAGAGATAGATATTTTATACAAAAATTCTGTAAAGCCAGATAGATAGTGGCTCATTTTGGAATAGAGGGGATTCAGAGGAGGAAGAGATAAAGTGTTACAGGAAGAATTTAGGAACACTTTGAAGAGGGGACGTATTTACGGTATTCTCAAATTGTATCAAACTTCTAGCTATTCCTCAAATTTGCTGTAGTCTTTCAAACTTCTGTGTACCCTTTTCTTTATGGAGTACCTCACCACATCATCTCTGAGAAATGCCTGTGCAACGTACAGGTGACTAAAATGATAATTATGTTTTAGTTCCCCAGAATTCTTGCTTCTGGTTGTTCTTTATAGTGGCATGTATAAGTGTGTGGATGTAATATTCTCTTGACTCTCTCTTGAATACTTAGAATTTTTTAAAGATTTCCTTGTATGTTGGGAACTCATACTTGCAACTAATGGCATTCTCCAAAGCCAGATGCCTCTACTGCCACCCTCCCCAGAAAAATGGGTTTTACATCAGATATCAAATTACTCACATCTAAATCAGTACTGAATATGTAAGTCTGGTTGTGGACCCCCGGTTACCGGCTTGAGCCCTCATTGTAAAGGAGGCAGGGGTGAAAAGCATTTTATGGGTTCTCTAATAGGGAGGCAAGGCTCCTTTTGAAATTTCCCTCAAATAGCAAGGGTGTCTAGAAGGTGCAAGACAGACAGAAAAACATGATACCATCTACTACATATTACATATAATTTCCTTCTGTAATTATACAGTGCATGAAGCATTTTAAATTTCATTTGAATTTAATTTAACACGTTCTTTTACCTCCCGTGTCATTAAAAAAGATAAGAATTCAGATAAGGATTTAGAATTTATGAATCAATTAGTTATTGTGATTCCATAGTTTTACTTTTTTGTGATTTTTTATTATTTCTCATTTAGGTCGTACAGTATTTATTTCACTTTTATTTAGGAAAAATTAACCAGAGTTTCTCATTTGTGAGTAATTAGGTAATATTATTTGAAAAATAATTATGTATGACTTCATATTCTACCTTACAAGTGTATGTGTTTAAAATATTTATTACTATGTCATATTTTTGTATGGATATACTATAGTCTACTCACTTTTTCTATATTTTTAGACATTTGAGCTTTTTGCCCTTGTTCTATATCATAAATAACATGGCAAAAAACATATCAGTCTGTGTTCTGGTTTCCAAGAAACAAGAGGTGGATTTTGTTTAAAAAACCAGAAAACAAATTTGTTGGGATGCTTGGGTAGCTTATAAACTCAGTGGGAAATTTGGAGAACCAGGTTTGTAAACCAGGAGATATCAAGGTTGGCCAGAAACATGGTCATAGAAACTTCTTAGAAAGAGCCTGCTTACGAGCTGCATGACAGTCACCAGACACTCCTGCTAGATGTTTACTGTTGTCACTTTCAGTGCCACCAACACTAGATATTTACTGCTACTGCTGTCGCCTTGAATCACTTTCCTACTTTCCCTATATCTTTGCATCTTTCTTTCCCTCAAGAGTCAAGGTCTGATTGGCTAAATCAAAGGCCTTTTGCTTGTCTTCTTGATGCCAGTAGGTAGGGAGAAAG